AATTCTGCAATTCATCATAACATGCTTGGCTTTCAATTGAAGCTTTTAATTAATTTTCCACAGCTCATCACAGACACCAGCAAACGCTGGTTTGTTCTTGACCACTTCAAGTCGTCGATATCCATGGCTCTTGTGAAAGCAGCTGATCCACAGACCTCCTCTTCTAATGCTTCTCGATATTGTCGTTATCACGTGTTCCTGAGTTTCAGAGGCCCAGACACTCGCAAGACGTTCACTGACCACCTCTACACGGCCCTTGTGAACGAAGGATTTCGCACTTTCCGAGACGACGATGAAGTCGAGAGAGGAGAAGGTATCAAGCCCGAACTGCAGAAAGCAATCAAACACTCACGAACTTCTGTCATTGTGTTCTCGAAAGACTACGCGTCGTCCCGATGGTGCCTTGACGAGTTGGTGATGATCCTTGAACGCAAGAGGAGGACCTCAGATGACCATGTCGTTTTGCCTGTCTTCTACGATGTGGATCCATCCCATGTGAGGAAGCAGACAGGAAGTCTTGCAAAGGCATTTGCTAGACACCAAAAAAGTCAACCGCTGCAGAAGGTGAAGGCATGGAGGGAGGCACTTGCAGAGGTTGCAGATCTGGCAGGGATGGTCTTGCAAAATCAAGCTCATGGGTAATTTCATTCCTACTACCAACTGAATTAGTTTCTTTATTGGGTTGCAACTGAATTAGTATCTCGTTATTAATATCGATTATATATGAAATCATGGTATTTTATAACTTAAGTATATGAAATCATGCATGCATGTTTGAATTCTCTTTCATTTTGGTTGCAATTTTTTAGGTACGAGTCAAAGTTTATCAAGAAAATAGTTAAAGTGATTGGAGACAAACTAAGTCGCACACCATTGAGTGTTGCTCCCAACTTGGTTGGAATGCATTCCAAAGTCGAAAGAATTAATTTCTGGTTACAACGCAGGTCAACTGATGTTGGCATACTTGTAATCTATGGGATGAGTGGTATAGGGAAAACAACCATCGCAAAGACTGTTTACAATTCAAACTTTAGAATATTTGAAGGAAGCAGCTTCCTTGAAAATATCAAGGAAGTTTCACAGCAACCCAATGGCTTAGTTCAAATACAAACACAACTTCTTTCTGACATTTTGAATGGGAGAAAAATGAAAATAAGCAATGTTAGTGAGGGATTAATTAAGATTGAAGATGCAATGAGCTCTAAAAGGTTTCTTCTTGTTCTCGATGATGTGGATCATATGGACCAATTAGATGCAGTATTTCAAATGAAAGATCGATTTTATCCAGGAAGTAAAATCATCATAACAACTAGGTGTGCAAGATTGTTAAAGGCTCATCAAGTTACTGAGGTGTATGCAGTTGAAACTTTGACTCAAAAAGAGTCATTGGAGCTCTTCAGTTGGCACGCTTTTGGCCAAGACCATCCTGTTGAAGATTACGTAGAATATTCAAAGAAGCTAGTCGATCATTGCGAAGGACTTCCGTTAGCTCTCAAAGTTTTAGGTTCTTCTTTGTTGGGGGAAAGTATATGTCTATGGAAAAGTGCATTGGAGAAGTTAGAAGCTATTCCAAATGGTGAAATAATAAATAAACTAAGAGTAAGCTATGACTCTTTGCAAGATGACCATGACCGAAATTTATTCCTCCACATTGCTTGTTTCTTTATCGGAAAGGACAAAGACTACATTGTTAACATACTAGATGGATGTGATTTCTACACACTTGTTGGCATTCAAAATCTCATTGATAGATGTTTGGTGATTATTGATGGATGGGACAAGGTGCAAATGCACAACCTGATTCGTGGAATGGGAAGAGAAATTGTTCGCCTAGAATCCAAGGAGCCTTGGAAGCGTAGTAGAGTATGGCATCATAAAGACTCTTTCAAAATCTTGACAGAAAAGAATGTAAGAAATATGCGTTATTTTTACACATATTTATTTTTATTCTTCTAAGAACTGTCCAAATGTTTTTCCTTCTTCTGTAGGGTACGGAAACAATTGAAGGTCTTGTCCTAGACATGCACATGTGCCCTACAAACAGTTCCCTAAACTCAAATGAGAAAGTCTTGGAAACCAATTCATTTTCAAGGATGCATGAATTAAAACTACTCCATCTCAGTCATGTAAAACTCGACGGATGTTACGCAGAATTTTGTACCGGATTAAGATGGTTGTGTTGGCTTGGATTTCCTTTGGATTCTATACCCACCGATTTTCCTGTGGGCAGTCTGATTGTTCTTGAAATGCAGTATAGCGGCTTGAAACAAATCTATAAAGGAACAAAAGTATGTTACTATATGCTTTTCAATTTCTTTTCATTTCATTAGGCTTGTATTTTGATATATATCTATAACAATTAATTCCCAACATTGATTTTTTCTTTCGCACATTTTTTCCCCTACAGTGTCTTCCGTCCTTGAAGATCCTTGATCTCAGCCATTCTCATTCCCTTACAGAAACCATTGACTTCTCATATTGCCCAAATCTAGAGACATTGGTCCTAGTAGACTGTACAAGCCTGATTTATGTCCATGGATCCATTGGAAACCTAGAGAGACTTATGTATTTGAATATGAAAGATTGCAAAAGCCTTAGGATGCTTCCCAAGAACATTTGTATGCTAAAATCACTTGAAACATTTATTATATCTGGTTGCTCAAATCTAAATGAGTTATCAATTGAGATGTTGAGGAACATGGACTCTTTAAAAGTGCTTAAGACAGATGGAATTCCGATAAGTGAATTATGGCTAAAAAGAAGTTCGAGTATCTTGGGTTCATTACCATGCTCTTTAGTAGAATTAAGTCTTTGGGGGTGCAATCTTTCGGATGATACATTTCCTATAGATTTTAGTAATTTGTCCTCATTGCAGAGACTAAATCTAGGGAATAATCCAATTGGTAGCCTACCAAATTGTATCAAAGGATTAACAAGGCTCCGTGCACTCCTTTTAAATGAGTGTACAAGTCTCAAATCGCTTCTCGGGTTACCAAAACTAAACTACTTGGATATCACAAATTGCATATCATTGGAGAAAATAACGTATCAATCCTCTTCATCCCGGGAATCGAGTGCCGGATTCGGTTGCAACTACAACCTAGTTGAGTGGGAGTACAAGTACAAGTTACAACCCATTGGAAGTGTAGATGCTGAAATGATCAACCTGTTGGGATTGTGCAACTTGTTGGAATCAATGGAACCCATTCGGATGGACTCACGATACAATAGTTCACTAAAGGATAATCCGATTCCCGTCCAGGTGCGTGTCTCTCTCTCTCTCTCTCGCTCTCTCTCTCGCTCTCTTAATGCATATATATAGGGACTGTACGAACATGGTATATTTAGCACATTTTTTGGTGGGAATGAGGTTCCAGGCCAATTCAGCCATAAAAGCAGAGGGTCCTCACTATCTTTTACCGTGCCATTACTTGATAATCACAGAACTCGAGGCTTGATTGTCATTTTTGTCTATGTTAATGCTGGCTAATAATAATGTCATTTTCATTGCATCCATATATAGGGACTGTATCAACATGGTATATTCAGTACATTTTTTGGTGGGAATGAGGTTCCAGGCCAATTCAGCCATAAAAGCAGAGGGTCCTCACTATCTTTTACCGTGCCATTACTTGATAATCACAGAACTCGAGGCTTGATTGTCTTTGTTGTCTATGTGAATGCTGGTTATGGTTCTCCTATTATCCACCACAATTATTCGTCACAAATAATAGTAAAAAATAAGAGCAACGGTCTGAGGGGGGCGTATTGCCCATCAGACTATGGTATTCCAGGTGCAGGAGAAGACATGATATGGTTGAGCCACTGGAATTTGGATGATCAGTTACAAGGGGGCGATGAAGTGGTTGTTTCTGTAATTATGTTATCTGGGCTTTTAGTAAAGGAGTTGGGCATCCAACTTGTGCAGGTGCAACAAGAAGAGAATTATAATATGATGACTATTTCCACAGATTCTTCTTATGATGATCAGATATGGTATAATAAGCGCCTTGGGGACTCTGATGAAGAAGATAAGAGAGGTGTGATGTTTTATTGACGCATTTCATAATTTTACTCCAACTATTTCCAAATATAAAACAAAATAATAAATGAATCTATATTTCGTTAGTCTATTCACAGGCCAGTCCCTATTCCTCTCTAATTTGTTGGGATTTTCACTTGTCTTGTTTATATGTTTTCCAGAGGAGGTTTTCTCTTGTTTTGTATGTTTACCAGACGAAGAAGAAGCGCAACAGGATGATATCACAGTTGCAACCACTACAGGCAGCAATAACTCCGGCGGCCTCCGTGGCTGGAAGGTGCTCGCAGTTTGTTTCTGTTGTCCTGTTGGTATGAAAATGTAGCTTGTTTCTATTGACCCCATTTGTTCTGGGGGGTTATTTTTAGGAAGATTCACTATTATACCAAATATAGGGGCCCAAATTATAAAAATACCCTATATGAAATGGACTTTAGAAATACACCCAAAACTCATTTACACCATAACAAATAGGCTTTTAACTTCTTATAAATTATAAAACTGCCATCAATTTCTTAAAACAAACTCAACCCTAAAATCTTATAAAAATACCCAAAACACTCAATAGGGCATCAAAGTAATTTAATAATCAATATTAAATTCAATAAGGCCAGCTGTCATTTTTTTGGGTTTGTTTATAGAAATTCAATGGTGTAGGGTTTATTTATAATATTAGTGCTAAGAATGGGTATATCACTAAATATCTCTTATTTTTATTTACCCAATTTGTTCAGTTTTAACATATCTTTGGGCTGGAAAACTGAAGTGGCCCAACCCAGATTGTGAGATTAGCATCTGCATCTGCTCTGTTGATATATTTTGTGAAAATGAAGGAGATATAATATGTAAAGGGATATATTTTGTCTTTGTTTTGCCCCTTCTCGTTTGGGTTGTTCAATAACATCAGATTTCGACCAAAAAAAAGAAAATTAATAATATCATCTAGTAAGAAATTAAAGAATAGGACAAAATTACAGTAAACCCCCTAATTTATAGGGTCATTTACGAGT